CCATTATCAAGTTCTCCCAGACAATCTCGGGGTACGCGAGAAACTTCATCTCGCTTCGACGCGCAATGCGAAGTTCATGAAGACGTCGCATACTCTCTGATCGGCATATTCAAGTCTGATATCAGGCCTCACTACGGTGAAGGAGCCGACGCTCTCGGACATCTGCTGGAGGAGATCGTGGCTCGCACCGGCGAGGTCACCGTGCTTGCGTGGTCAGGGACATCGTCCTCGTACAACAGCTGTCTCCCGGCTTCCGTTTCCGTCTACAGCCAAATTCCTTACATCCCTCCGTCACTCGAAGGGGAAGAAATGGAAATTCGCATCACGAAATTACGTGACGAGTTGCCGAAGGAAGTTCTCCTAAGCATCTACAATCAGATCAACCTTCTTCCACCCGCGCGTTTTGGTGCCCAACGTCTATATCTTCCATGCATCATCTTCCCCGTCAGAAAACTGGAGCTACGCAGAGGCAGTGAGAAGCTGTATCGTGCCAAGGTATCAAGGCTTGGAAAAGTGGAGTTCTCGACCGCCGACGATCTCCCGCTGCACGAGGCACAGACATTTATCCTCGTACATCCGTGGATTGATCATATCCGAGGTCCCAATACGTGTGGTTTCCTGGGGAGATGACCCGGAGTCTGGATACTAACTCTGACGGCGATTCGGATAACGGCACTGAATCGGATGGAGATGCGCCGTCTTCGCCATTACACGCTGTCCCCCCTCAAGTTGATGGCTATACTCGAGCACTGCAAGTGATTGCTCGCCTCGGACAGCCGTTCAACGCGTTGCTTCTTGCACAACAGCCGAAAGGAGGTTACAGGAGGGTCGCCACAGAGAAAGAGATTGTCGTTTCGGGACTTGGAACTAACATCACCTTGAGCATTCGGGTGGGGGTGTTGGAAATCCTTTGACGTGTGCATGGGGGATTTGCTGGTCGTCAAAGCTGGTCCGTCTTTCTTCCTTTAGCGGTCACTTATGGTGTACTTTCGTGCTGTTTGTTGCCTTTGTCCATCGTCCTCATCGTGCTCCTTACGTTGTCACATCTGCTGTTCATATATGCTACGCGCGGCCCCATCTGGGCCAACCAATGCTGCCCGTCAGCCAATATACTACTACTCGATGTATTCTCTCGATACTTATTTCACAACGATCCCCACAATTCGCTCTCCAGCCCCGATCAGGGATATTTCGACTTCTGCGGGTTAGTATCGGCTTGCGTGGATGCCGAAACCCGAGGTGGATGGATTGGACAATCCGACCACTCTAGCTATAGTACTTTCTGAAGCAGAGGCGGTATGTAGATTCCGTTTAGGGAGTCCGCGATTCTGCATTTACGATCTTGGCCCGAGGGTAGCTGGCATGAGAAACTCATCTGCCACTTTCTCGATCCGTGGCACCTTCGCTAGCATGAGAGATATCGAGAGTAACCTTTCGAACGTGGCTGAACTTTGACCCAGTGCCGAAGCTGACACGCTTCAATGCATAACAGTCAGAATAGTCAAAGCATGTAAGTTTGGGTGCGACAATGGCTTTCGCGACTGGCTGGACAACCGGAAATCTTCTGAGTATCTGAAAGTTAACCCTAGGGACGTCCGACCGGCGTCGTTGTCCTTCCCGTTGACCGTGAGGACGTCAAAGTTAGCTTGCTTCAATAAAACATACCTACCCGTGTCCGTCCTTATATCTAAACGGAATCTATCGTTCTGTTGTGAACGGCGTATATTCATACCATGACACAGCATTCGGCCCTCGAATCTAAGTCCGTGCTCGAGGGCCTATACATTTTACATTGCAAGGGGCTTCCGAGTAGTGCAATCCGACACAAACAGCCACCAGCATCATGGTAACCCGAAGTCACTGGTGCGGTACATAAATTAGGAGTGCCTCCACAAACAAACGCCTACGCCCTGTCCGGGTACCCATCTATCCTACCCCGAATACCATCTTGCCCTCGACTGCCTTCTCCTCACCACAGGTCTCACGAGCCCAATCGCAAGCGCAAGACCCCCGATTGTCAGCACCAACTGCGCCTTGTTGAAACTCTCCGAAAGAACATCGAACGTCCCCGACGGAGAGACGCGCGTTAGGAAGAGGTCAAGGCCGATCGCGAGAACGAGAGACGTAGATTCGAGCCGGGATGGTGCGCTAATGATTTGGCGGACGTTGGCAACCTGTTATAACAATGAGAATTAACATAGTTGAGTATGACGAATGAATATGAGGGAGTATGAGAGTCGATCGTACCTCGTAATTATGCGACAGCGCAAACCGAGCATCATCCGGAAGTACAGCATCATACGCGACGAGTCCTTCTTCGGCCTCAGACGGCGACGCCTTGCCAAGGGGTCTTCGTGCACTCAGAAGTCTCCGGTGGACGGAATACACGGCGTGTCTACGGCTTGCCACTGTAATGCAGCAACAAAATCATTGTCAATCATCCAATGACAGTAGAACACAAATATTGATGACCAGAGCGATACGCACTTATCAGATTCTTGAGAGTCACACCGAGGCGGGTCGATGTCGTCGAAAGCGCGGTGACACCGTACGGTATAAGATACGCCTGCTCGTACGTCGTAATATCGGTTGTAGCGTTTGAGTAAGACGATAACTCCGAGCTACGCGGAAATCAGTTCTCTTCCAATCTCCACGACAGACAAAACAGATTCAGGAGATAGAAAAAATTCCATACCTGCGCGTCACATCATCCGGCTTCTTCCCCTCATACATTTCCACCGAAACGATCCTCCACCCCTTCGTACCACCGCCTTCCATCCCATGCCCATGGCCGTAGTCTACATCAGTTCTATCCTCGTAATACGAGTACACCAACCAATGATCAACGAGCACAGCGTGGACGTCGTCGCATCTTCCCTCGGGGGCGGGTAAACCCACCTGGTACAAAATCGTCCCTTTGACGCTATCCAGGACATATAACCCGCACGTTCCCTTCGCTTCGGTCAACACGACCCTCAGATGCCTATTCAAGTACTTATACAGCGTCCTCCGGTCTCCCAGAACCTTCCCGACAACCGGTGCCTCTCGACCCGCGTTCCCGTTCAGAATCGTTTCCCGGATCGTTTCGCCAGAGCCAAGGGTAATCCGCCACGTGGGATATGCGACGTGTACGGTGGAAACGTCGTCGTTGAAGCCGAGACGGTGTCCGACGAGTTGTGTGCGTGTCGATAGTTCGTCGTTGTTGCTGTTCACCTCGGGCCGCGAGGTAGGAGACGTGCGTGCAGAGAGGACAAGGTGTAGGGAAGGCGCGAAACGTGCCAAGGACTCGCGGGTAGCTGGAGTATCTGGGTATAGCTGGACCTATATATCGCGCATTCGATCAACACTAGCCATACACAAAAAAGCCAACGCGACTTCAAAAACGAAAAACTGCAAACCTACCTGCAAAAACTCATCCAACATCGCAACAGTCCCCTGCCCATCAGGAACAACAAATGATTCGATCATCGGACCCTGTATCACATCCGTCCCCTCCAACGGACCATACCTTGAGCGAGGGGAGTCGCCCTCACCATCTTCGACAGGGCGTACATCATCGCCGGTTAATGGGTCCACCTCAAATACGACCGTATCCACAAGGCTCTTTATGTTGAGTTTAAGAAAAAGGAAAGAAGTCAGTAAAACTTGCCCACTAGGGTGATAGGAACCACATACATTATGCGCCCGTCTCTGCGTCACCAGTACAACAGTCTGCTTCATCGTCTCCTCTTCCTTACCGCTGGAATCGCCCAGAGTTCCCGATTTCGAAGGTACAACATACATCTTCACGGGTAAAACTCTCCCTCCCACACTGCCAGAAGCCCAACCCAACCCAAACAAGCGCCTCCAGATTACTCTTCCATTGCTCGAGTCGAGGCCGTACAAAACGCCTTCCGTTGTTGCCGCAACAATCACTTGGCGGAATCCAAACCGGTCACTGTGGAGAGTGGAAGGTGCATCAGAACTATGCATTGGTCCGTCTTCACGGATGATCGGGCCCAAGGTGTACGTGTACAAGTGCTGTAGGATACTCTCAGAGAATCGTTGAATGCAGGTTAGGAGAGTACCGGATATGCTGGTCGATCCGGTGGACGGGCTGCTAGATGCACTTGGCTGAGGTAAAGGTACGAAAGCAGCAACGCGGATGGTCGAGAGCGCTTCCTCGCGGGACCACTGCAGAACATTGTGTTTCCATAACTGAAGGGTACCTGTTGACGTCGCCAGTAGAAATCGCGTGGTCTCTTGAGTGTCATCGGATCGTCCGTCGAAGGTAACCTTTGGGTGGGTAGGGAGTGAGTGGCAGAGAAGGGTAAAGAGAGAAGATCACTTACGTGTCGAATTACACCGTGTCCGTGTGTTGGGAATGGAAATGCGTATCCCGTTACTTGTCCTGTGCCATCAGAAAGACGCGGGGTGAACGTCTGATGGATTGCTTGCTACACCATCGTAATTTTCAATACTGGTACAAGCACAAAGACAAGCGGGGATACATACACCATTCGCGTGCGACCAATATACTCTCACAATGCGAGGTTCGCCGTTCTCACCAAAGCTCCCTGCAAAATGCGACTCGCTGTGCGTCTGGGACGGTGCCTGCTCGTTCCTGTCAGGTTGGGAGGTGGAGAGACAGTCGTACCAACCGAACACGTACCACGTCGGCGAATTCCCACATCGGTCGTAAAGACTCTCCGTCGTACCTCATGACATGGGCAGACCCGTCCTGTGTGAATGCGATAAACTGGCCCGCCCCGGTGAGTCCGATGTCTCGGATATGTGTGTAGTTCACACCGGGTAGAATCTGGACCTGGCCTTTTAGTCCTGGAGTGAGCACCGCTGCTCTGATTGAGGACGACTCCAGCCATGTCAGACAAAGTCCTGGTGCGATTTCTGCCGTCATGGGTGTGTCAAGGAGGACAAAACCGGGCGTGTCCTTTGGAAGATTTGCAGGGATGTTGACAGATGCAATGGTGGATCCGTTGTCTATGGATAAAGTGGTGACGTGCAGAGTGTATGTTGCCTCGGACCTGGCGAGACCGATCGCGTAGACAGTGTCTGGCGTAGTACGAATGTGGGAGTACACCACGAGCGTCCTATCCGGGTATCAGCGCGTCACCGTAAAGAGGAAAACTGGACAAACCCATTGTCTGGAGAATTCCATGTCCATGCAACATCGCCAGACTGGCCGTCTATACGACTGACCGTGTGGCCATTGGTGAGCGCAAAGATCGCGGTGCTCCCTTCGACCGAAATCCGCCTTGTTGTGATTGCTGTGTGTTGTACTTCGTGTGTTTCAGCGCGAGGAAGGCTGTGGAGACGACGTTCGAGGAGAAGGTGGCCTGTGGATGTGTTATACGTGCGTAGAGTGGATCCACCAGGCCCAGAGAGTAATGCGACGTCTGTAACGGGTGTTTAGTACATGGTAAAACGCTAGACGAAAGAGACACGTACTTGAGTCGTCGTACACGTCAAATGCCTTGATGGGGTCGTCGTCGTCGTGGATGCTCCTCCATGCTTTCAGCGAGTTAGAACTTCCACACCGAACATTAGACTGTCCAGTGCCCACCTAATGAACCGTCTGCAGCATTGATTGCAGCGAAGACGTTGCTGGCTGTCGTTGCGAGAATGAGATCGCCATGAAAGTTGGTTTTGAGTGGAACGCCGACGAGTCTGGAGTGCCAGTCGACCACGCCGACGTCGGATTCGTGCAGTGCCCAGCTCGCCGCTGCCAACGACAGCGACGCGACGAGCAGCCTCAAGTGTAACATTTGAAAGTGCTAGTGAGAATTTAGGAATTGATTAGGGACGCGCTATGTAATTAGGCACTTGAACTCAAACAACAGCGACGACGACAACGACGGCCTACGGCCCCGACAAACGGATCGCACAGCTGATAGACTGCCAACATCCGCCTGAACAAGACACGAAAATCCTCTTCCACACTATCCGAGCCATCCTCCTCGAGGAATCCGGCATCGAGTCCGTACATATCGACACCAGTCACCATCTGCGACAACATCGACGGCCAGTTCTGGGACCTCCTCTAACTATGTACCCAGGAAATGCGTTACCTGTCCCCTATCGTTGTGGCCATCCGGATATCCCGACAAGGTCACTTTGTTGCGGGGCAATCACGAAAGTAGACAAATCACCCAATTAAGTCTACGGGTTTTATGGCACTCTTCACTC